GGCTATACCACTGCTGTGGAAGGAGCAGTTGGAGAGGTTTTATGGTTATCTACAGAATATACAATTTTCAACAAGTGAACAAAATACCAAAAAGGTTATGTAAAAAAAAGTGATTGACTTGTAATCTCATGATAATTAAGATATGCTTAATTAATAAGGGGGTTATATGCCAAGTTTTTTTGATAAGCCGTTTGAAGAACAAGTAGAAGGAATAATAAAGACTGAAAATGAAGAAGGGGTAAGGTTATTGCAAGCATTGATAGGTATAAGGCATCCAATTGCATTCACACAATATTACTCAAGTTTTATAATTACTAAAATTAATATTATTAATGCGAAGCTTTATAGCTTATGTAAATTGAAGAAGCTATGCCTTAAGGAATATACAGAGAGTATAGGGGAATATATTAAAAGCAAGGGTGAGATAATAGATGAAGTAGAGCTAAGAAAGTTCTTAAGTAAAAAAGTTAAGCCAATTAAGGACGAAGGTGAAAGAAAAGTAAGAGAGTCAGTGTTAGAAATCAGTAATCAAGAATATGTGGAATATATGTATAGTACTAACATAGCAGGATTGTGTGCTATGAATGGTATACAAGCTACAGGAATTTATAATAGCGTTGCTAAGGAAATAATAGAAGAGATAGATCAAAAGATTGTGAGTGCGGTTACCAGTAAAGACTTTGAAAAGATGAAAGAAGAAATAAATAAACAGCTAAAGGATGCAACAGAAAAGTATAGGAAATATAGTGGAGAAATTAGTAAATATCAAAACTTTATAAAAAGTATAAAAGATCATACTTTTCTATCAAAGTGGTATAGTGCATTATTGGAACAAGTGAAAAAAGATTCAAGTAAAAGAGTAGAACATGTTCTACATAATCATGATACTTCCAGATTAAATGTTGATGTAAGTAACTGGCTGATAGATAAAATTTTTGATAAAGTTTTAGATAATAAATTGGAGGAATTAAAGAAAAAGCATTATTTAGGAGAAGTTATAGTTGAGCATAGTTTAGGCAAAAAATACTTAAAGGAGAAAGTACTTAAAATATCTAATACTAGTATACTAAATCCCAAAGAATTTATAGATACAATGCAAAACATCCCGGATGGTGAAGTACGCGGTGAAAAGGAAAAATTAAGTCAAATTTTAATTAATGAAATAGATACTAGTCTTATTGCTGAAGAGAAAAGAGCATTAAGAGAAGTGTTACCGAAGGCGATTGATACATGGAAGGAAAGTAAAAGTAGAGGGATAAAAGTCAAGGATTTTTTAGTAGTGATACTAGAAATTTTAGGTCATAGTATTAAAAGTTCAAAATTCAATCAAAAAAACAGTTTTTGTCAGCTGCAGCATAGTAGGGAAATTTTGCTGGAAAGTTTGCAAAGCAAAATATCGGAAATATTAAGTGTAGAGAAAGAAAACTTTTTGGAGAAACTGCTTGCTGGAGTATTGAAAAGAAGAGAGTATCATAGTTCAGCACTAATATTACTTACACAACTAATAAAACCGCACAATGTGATAGAAGCAGAACAGGAAATTTTAAATACTATACTGATAAAAGCTATAGAAGCGGATAAACAAGATATAGCATTACTTTTGATATGCAATGGAGCTGATATTGATGAGTCACATAATGTTATTACAAAGTTGGGTTGCAAGTCATTAGAAGCAGCAGCAGTGAAGGGAGTTGCATGTCTATACAATACAATGCCAAAAATTAGAATAAAATATACAAAAGGAGAAATAGAAAGTTCACAAGCAATAAGGGAAATGGAGTTTATAGTAGATGACGCTATTTCTAGTAATAAAGAAGAAATAGTGGAAATTTATGAGATTTTCAACTTAGAAGAATTTAATGAATTATTTCCAAAAGGGTCATTTTTAAAGGAAGGAAGTAATATTACTATGGATTATAGAGAGAAGGTAACAAACACGAAATTGCCAAGGATAAAAAGTAGGAAACAAAAAAATAAAACTGAAGATGAAAAAGAGAAAAGCACAAAAATTGTGGAGCAAGATGAAAAAGGTATGAAACAAATAGAAAAAGGTAAGATGGAAGTGGGAAGTTTAAAACAGACTACACAATACTTGGAAAACAAAGAGCGTAAGAGATTAGCCATTGGGTGGTCTATCAGTGCAAGTTTTGGAGGGCTTGGGGGAGGAGTATGTGCTTTTCTCTTTCTCCCACCTCCAATTGCTGCACTTGTTTTGGCCGGTACTTTGGCTAGTTCTGTAGTATCTTGTTTGATTGGTTTTAATATACATATATTTGTAAGGGAACAAGGAGATCTTGAGATTAGTAGAAATGATCTTCAAGATTTAAATAAAGCGATCGACTTTTTTACGGATTTGTTGAATCATAGAGCTGCTTCAGGAGTAAGTGATGCCTTTTTGAAAGAAATAAAACAAGAAAAAGAAAATATAAATGCAAGTAAAGAAGACTTCTTAAGTCTTACAAATATTTCAAATATTATAAAAAGAACAGGAAAAGCAATACCGGGAATTAGAAGCTACATTGCTGAATTTAAAGAAAAAAAGTGGAAGGATGTGCAGCTTATTACATTGTTGCTTGGAGATTTTGAGACTGAGCTTGATAGAGTTCTTGATAAAGCAAATGAAGCAAAGGAAATAACATTCGGAGAAATGGCAAAAAACATAATTAAGAGTAGAGAGAAATATATAAGAAGATTAAAAGCAAAAGATAAATTAGATGAACAAAATGACACAGAAGAAAAATTAAAAGTAATTGAGAGAAAAACTTCAGATGCAATAGTAAAATCATTAAGCGCAGACAGACAGAAAGAGAAACGGGCAAAAGAGCAGGAAGAAAGGAAAAAAGAAAAAGCTTACGCAAGAGAGAAAGCAACAGATTTATTATATGACAAAATATATGAGCTAAACATATCGGCAAGGGAAATAATGTGCAATCAAGATGCACGAGAACGCTTGAAAAACCAATGTACTCTCCTAGTTTTGAATATGGACTATGAAGTAAAATTTAAGGATATATGTAGTCAATATAAGGAGTTTAAAAATGAGTTAAAGCATAAACAGTTTATTGGTGAAGAAGAATTAAATAGATTATCTGAGTTAGCTGATAAACTTTGTATATTAGATGATGATTTTACTGTACTTAAACACAAAATGAGTGAATTAAATTTACAATTTGAAAATGAAATCCTTAATAAGCTGGAAACTAATATAATAGAAGAGATGAAGCGAGCGGGAACAGCTGCAGAACAAGAAAGAGAAGTACTGAGAGAAGAGAAAGAGATAGTTGAAGAAATGGTGATGCAATTACAAAGATCAGAATCAACGCAGCCAAATTTTGCATTGGACGAAGTAAGATCAATTATAGGACCTTCCTGGAGTAAGCAAGAATGAGGACAAAGGAGTTTTTAGCGTTTCTAGAAAGTGAAAGGTTAAAAAATACCTTATATAGAAAGTTAAAGTGGCAAGAGTATTTTATACCACAAAGTTGTGAAGAGGTAAATAAGCTGTTAGTCGAATTTGGCAAGTTAAAAATAGTGCGTTGGATGCCATCAGTGGCTGAGTGTGCAGAAGGCAAAAATTTTGCTAAAGAGCAAATTGTTATGATGTTGCTTATAATAGGATGTTCTTTAAGTAAAAAATATAGAACAGTAGGATTATTAAGTTTATCCTTTCTTTTTGGATATATTGTTCATTCATTTTTATCCTTTCAGGAGAAGAAAGGAGATTACGTTAAAATGTATAATGAGGTTAAAGTTATGTTAGAACAAGAGGTAAAAAAAAATACAGCTAGCGTAGAGATAGGATATATACAATCTATAGCAGGTAAGGTAGATCATGTTGAGTTTGATTATCATGTTAGACATCTGGCAAATATGGAGGAGAAAAAATTCTTACAATATAAGGAAGACATAAGGAAAGAATATGAAAATACTTTTTTTCAAAAACAAGAAGTAGAAAAGTTTTTAAGCTATGTAGAGTATGTAAGGGAACCAAAGAATGAGGAACTATATGCATCAAAATTACAAAATATTCGTGAACTTTATGCTCGTGCAAAGGATAAAAGAACTAAGGATAGTTTTTTAAAGGACTTTTTAAAGCATGAAAAAGAAAAGGAGCAAGGGTACAGAAGTATCGAAGATGATATGGCAGAATTGATGTACGCTTATGATAAGGGCATTTATGAATTGCAGAAAGTAAATCATGATAAAAAGACGGAAACATATGAAAATTTGTTTACATTTACAAAAGGTCTTTTATGGAAAGTAATACCAATAAAAAGCGGAAAAGATTTGTTAAATGATTGGTTAAATAAAGAAAAGATGATGAATGTAATGTATAAGAGAGTAAGGGATATATCCAATGATAGCACTCTAGAAGAGGGGTTAAGAAGTTTGAACCTCCTGCACTATGTAGACGATATAGATGGTCTTGCTAAGGTGTGTAAAAAGCCATTTGTCAAAATACATACAGATAAAAATGATCATGAAAGAGCTAGAGAAATTTTTGAGAAAACCTATATGGTATACCGAGCAGTAAAGAGTATAATAACAGTATATGAGGTATATTATATAGGGTCGATATTTTGTGATTTAAGAGAGTTTTTGGGCTATGGGCTATATGAGATAACAGATGAAGGTGTGGCTCAGCATATTCTATCAATAGAAGAGACTAGAAGTGTGTTTTTGGAATTCAGGCTAAAGGAATGTGATGAATATAAAGAGCTAATAAATGCTACGAGAGACAAGATATTAGAAAGTTTTAGGAGGCTAATTGAAGTAGAAAATGAGTTATTAGATGACAACAAGAATGAAGATTTGAAAAATGAGAAGCAGAAGATAGAAGAAGAACAAGAAACTTTATTAAAGGGGTTAATATCAGGACTGGAAAAGCTGGAGAAGTGTTATGGACCTATTAAAGAGAGTTTTGATATAGAGATAACAAAGCGAAAAGTACAAATGAATACACCATTTGAAAGATACACTAACACAAAATATATAGAGAACCTAGAGAGGAAATTGGAGGCATGCAAAAAAGAAGAGCAAGACGTCAAGGATTCAATTTTTAAATTAAAGGCAACAACATCTAGGATGTTATTTAAAGAAGTAAAAAAAAGAAAGTGGGAGATATTGTGCTATGCTGTTGTATCTATAGCTTCAATATTATTCCATGTTCCGTACTTGGCATTACCTTTTCTAGCAGTGCCTATTTTTGGTACTACTACGAGTTCTATAGGCTCTTATAAAAAGAATATGGAAAAGCTACTCAGAAACGAGACAAGACATGATTATGTAGGTGAATACAAGAAACTGCATGATGAATTGACACATAAAAGTGTAGTGCTTGATGAAATCAAAAAGTTTTTCGGCAAGGAAAGGAACAAGAATGAATTGAAAAAGGAAGAAGAAAAATTAAGAAGTAGATTTAAAATACAGAGCGAAATGCAAGTGAATTCTAAGAAAGATCTAAATGATGAAAAAGAAAGGAGAAAAGCTCAGAGAGAAGAAATAGAATTCTCAAAAGCGGATTTGGCTCAATTAAAACATGAAACGGCCATGGAAAGAGCAGAAAAAGAGAGAGCAAAAGCTGGCTCAGAAGCTTTGATGTTATTATATGAAAAAGCATATGAATTAGGCATATGTATAAATGAAGTGAGACGAAATCAAGGTGTGAAAGAGTATTTGAAGCATAAGTGTATTTTATTAGTTTTAAATCTGGAGTTTGAAAAAAAATGTAAGGAAATTTATAAGAATTATAAAGAGTTAGAAGGAGAATTAGCAGAAAGAAGAGCTATTAATGAAGAAGGAATGAGCAAGTTAGAAGAGTTAGTGAATGAATTTAATAGATTAAATAAAAATTTTATAAAACGTAAGAAGGAGGAAAATGAGTTTGTGGAGGGCAACTCACAATTTGAAAATGAAGCCTTTAATAAACTGGAAGCTAATATAGTAGAAGAAACGAAGCAAGTAAGAATAGCTGCAGAACAAGAAAGACAAATACTTCTAAAAGAAAAGAGTATAGTTGAGGAAATAATAAAACAACTGCAAATGCAAACATCGCCTTCGGCATTTAGTAGCGTGAATCGCGAGCCAGTTGCAGGATCTTCTCGGCAAAAATGAGTGGTTGAAGTGTAGTAAGTTTGATTAAACATTTTTTAAAGAAAAGGCTTCTCTTCAGCGTGACAAAAAATTCAATTATTTACTTTCTCTAAACTGCAAAAAACCCCTAATATCATGGAGAATAGAGATACAAAGGTTAATAAATTATAGAAAATAGTGAAGGTTTTAAAGAGATGATTAGGTATAA